GTTTATATTAAAAAATAATTTGTGCTGATAATACTGAGTGGTCTGTTGACTGACCTCTGTATTTGTTCAAATAATTGTTATGGGCAGGTTACAATACTATATAAAAATGTTTGTCATAATCATGTCTTGTGATTATTTGACAGGAGTTTTACTTTTAAACTGTAAGTGTATTTAATTTAGTTATGTTAGTTATGATAGTTTAGTTATGATGTAAATACAATAAAAATTTAACCAAGATTCAAAATAGATTAATTATCATTTTGATCAATACATTGGTAATGTCTGACTTGGCCTGGTGCCACTTTATGTTCAACAAATTTGGCCCCGAGGTCATAAAGGTTAAGAACCCCTGCTCTAGAGGAGATCAGAATAATTGTCACTGTTTTCCACATCATCACACTGTGTTTTCTCTGTCTCTGCTGCTGTAACCTGGTCAACTCTCAGTGGATGGAGTCTGGTATGAGTGGTCTGGGTGGAGCTCCTGCTCGGCCTCCTGTTCCAATGGGACCATGCAGAGGACCAGAGAGTGCAGTGGCCCCTCGTACGGAGGCTCGGAGTGCCGGGGAGAGTGGATAGAGACTGTCGGCTGCTTCCTGGGGGACTGTCCTGGTATGAGAACATACATTTTAAAAGTGTGGGTTTTGGTGTTTCAACGTGGGAAGGTGGGGGAGTATCAAACTTTACCCTGACTTTGTACCCAGGGGTTGTTATGTTGTTATCACGGTGGCATCATTCATCCAAGCTGTGGAACTTGAATCCATTTTATGAAACCTTTTTATAGACCACTGATGGTTGGCGATTCCAGTGGATGAGTCTCAAGTGGGCCTGACTGAAGTGGGGCCACCAAATTTATCACAATTTGTACAATAGTGGTTTGTGAGAAAATAAGTACTCCTGAAGTCTTCAAAACATTATGTTCTTATCAGAAGCTGTTTTAGTAAACCCAACAGGAGGTCAATTCACTGTCACCCAAAGAAAATTTATGATCCAGATTAGTTGCTCCTCTCATGCGCCTGAAGCCTGCATGTGTTTATGATGGAGAGACCCCATCTCTACTTCATCCTCCACGTTATGAGAATCACAATGTATTTTTCTTGCTATTAAATATGATAATTTAGTAAAAGCAGAAACTTCAGTGCAGAGCTTTTGCCCTTCAGCTCCATTGGAGATTTCCTTCTAAGGTCACCTTATGACCTCTGCATTACTGTTTGCCAAATGCCCCACCTGCTACAGTCCCCAGAGAGGGTCACCTACTGTAGCTGAAACCCACTCAGGGCTCGTGTTCCCACTTCATGATGAAATGAAAACTTGGTTACGGTGACTCAGCAACAGGATTACGATTCTATGAGTTTTTAATGTAATGCAGGTGCACAACACTAACATAAATTCATTTAGGTAGTCTTTGCTAACAGCTGATTTAACAAACACGGAGCCTGCGGTAAGCAATGCAAATGTTTACACAGGTATGCAAAAGTTTTGCAAGGTAACGCAAAGGAATTGTGTGAAAATGCAAAGGTATTTTGAGGTAATGCAAAAATACTGCATAGGAACGCAAGAGGGGATAAAATCCCCTCATGTTCCCATGCAGGCTCCAAATATCCCCCCACCAGCAGTAAAATTAGACCCTCAGCTCATAATGGCTCAGTCTTGGTGTGTAAAAGACTTGGGCCAGCAACAGAGCATGGACAGTGCAGCTTGTCCAGCCTGTGTTATTTATTTTATTTTATTTTATTTTAATGTGAACTCATTTATTATTTTAAAGCTTAATGCCTGATTTGAATGTAACTGCCTTTTTTTAAAGCTTTGCTATCTTCAGAGCCAGAGTTGTTCAGAAAACACCCAGGGCTTCACTCCAAAATAACCAGGCCCAACTACATAAAAGATAAATCATTTTAATATGCTCTAACCTGGTTTTGTTGTTGTTTCACTTTTAAAGTGCACTCCAGTAAATTAAATTCTGAACAGGACTGTCTGCTAATGTGGGCAGAGGTGGGTAAAATATAATCTGCAACAGATGACTCTAAAAAACAGGGATGGGTACAAATTGACCAAAAATGAAAAGGTACAATTTTGTAAAGATACCAATTGAACCATCACAGTTTGTACATGAAGCAGTCACAGGAGCATCATAAGCTTCATTAGGTTCAATTTTAGGTCTAATTATAATACAAACTGCATTTAAACGTGTTTTTAGGTCGGTGTGTGTTTTATTATTCTGTATATTAAAATCCTAACTCATGTTGCATTTCTACTTTCAGTGGATGGAAAGTGGCAGCCCTGGTCCTTGTGGTCCATCTGCTCTCAGACCTGTGGAGGGGGGAGTCAGAAGAGAAACAGGATTTGTTATGGCCCTTTTTTTGGAGGACAGATTTGTCCAGGAGAACGAGAAGAGGTCCGTCTCTGTAACGAGAAGAGATGTCCAGGTCAGTGAACGGAAACATGATGTGCTTTGTCAGAGAGCATCCCTGACATCTGTGACTCACAATTTGACTTCTCTGATGTGGACAGGACCTCATGAAATATGTGGCGAGGACAATTTGTCCAACGTTGTTTGGAAGATGACTCCTGCTGGAGACACGGCAGCCGTGCGCTGTCCTGCAAACGCCATGGGTGAGTGTTAAAGCATTGATGGAGGGTCCATTTTAAAGGTTGTAGAGGACAGATGGGCTTCAGTGCTTTGCTGTTCTCTTGTGTCTTCACACAGGCCTAGTCTTGCGCCGATGCTCATTGGATGAAGAGGGCAACGCCTACTGGGAAGCTCCCACCTATATGAAATGCATTTCCAATGACTATCGCAGCATACAATCTTTGGTGAGCATCAGTGTTGCACTTTTTATCTTCCTGCTACAAAGATGTGCAGTGTGGTGGCAGAATCAGATTCACACACGATGCACATGCCTCTTATCATTCTTCACAAGTATATTTTTAATGTCAGAGAAACTTTTGTGCCATCACTTGAACAGAATCTTCACAGTAATCCACACAGGAGTGATGATTTTAGTTTTCACTGCAGCCCACGGTTGAAAATTGTTTGTCTCTGTTTTCTGCACACATCTGTGGGCATCATCATCATAATGTATTCACATCAACACTTCATTCACTCACATTAACTTTCAACTAGATATTTTAATGCAAAAATAATTTCTACTCTCCTGGTTTAACCAGTGTTGATGTGTTTTATACGTTTTGTGTCAAACTGTAACAAACAGGCTGCTCTCAGTTTAAACACTAATGTTGTCTGTTAGTCACAGGCTGCTTACCAACAGTTAGCATTTATGCTAAAATGATAGCATTCAGCATTGTCTTCATCAGTGGGAATTTCTGCACAAAATCCAATTACAGATAAAGTAACTTTACCTGAAGATTACACAAGTTTCCCTACAGGAAGCTACAGCCTGAAGAGGACAAACAACTTTCAGTAACTCTGACTAAAAAGGGAATCTGTAAAATAAGTCATTTCAATCGTTAAGGTCGCTCACAGAGAAATTACACTCATATCAAAACAAATCAGATTAATTTGACTGTTTTTATTATTTTTCATCATGGTGAGACTAGTTGCTTTAAAGCAAAACATTAAAACGAAACAAAAAACATAAATGCTTTGAATGGTGTAAAATTGTCAGACGTCTTTCATACAAGCTGTAAGGTCAAAGCCAGCTGGATGTGATACTGCTAACATGCTAAAGCAACAGTAAATGAAGTAAAATAGAAGATAAACAAGGAGATCTTGATAAATGTTGACCCCGGTCACAGTCCAGAAAACAGAAGCTAACTGAAATAAATTTTTGTCCATCAGACTCGAGAACACTTGAACAAAGCACAGCGAGGACTTGTGGGAGACGGAGTTTCAGAAGTGATGACCAAACTGAGGGTCACGTCCAGCGACGGGACCAGCTACAGCGGCGACCTGCTGGCCATTCTGGATGTACTGAAGAACATGACAGAGATCTTCAGGAGGACATACTACAGCCCCAGTGGGGCAGATATTCGGGTAATTTGATCAAATGATTTTTGATCATTTTGAAAACATCACAAAAGAAGGCCTGAGGTAAATGATTTTTAGTTGGTTGTGTGAGGTCATTCTGTCTGATATTATTCTGCTTAACCTCTGTCTTCACTAACTGTCTTAATGCTTTTAAACCATTCACACCATTGAGATCTTACTTTTACTTCCATACATTTTCGGCACTTGTTCCACAATTTTTGTGCTACTTCAGCAATTTATATACTTATCAAAACATTCAGCTCCTTCATGACATTCTAGCTATTTCAGCAGTCGATACTTTTTGAGATATTTGTCTTTTTCTGACTTTTTTTCTCAATAAAAATGAATTGAACTGTTTTCAACATTCTTAAAATCCTTCAAAATATTCATAAATCTTTACTGTACTTTTTTACCCTTTGTATTGATTTCAGCTTCGTTTGGGTTTTATTTAGCAGATTTTTTTCTAGACTTATTTCTACAATTTTCTGCTAATTTAAGCTGTTTTCAGTGGTTTGTGTTACTTTATCTGTTTTGAGATTTTTTTCAGTCAAATTCCCCGTTTTGTGATAATTTCAGCTGCTTAATGCTCACTGCTTAATGCAGTGAGCATGCGCTTTCTGTTGCTTTATGCAAAATTTGGCTACTTTTTAAAATTTATTTTTAGGCTAGTTTCAGCTTTTCTAGCTAGTAAGCAAAAATCTTTCAGCATCAGACATCCATGCTGCATTTTTGCAGAAAATTCACATTCTTCAGTTAAATTAAGTCATCAGAGGTGGCAAACTCAGTGACACAAGTGGTCCAAAATTGTAAACCAGGGTAAAATCGAGGGCTAATTTCAGTCCGTATTTATTAACAAGATTTATACAATAAAATACTCTTATTGAAATGCAAATGTCCTTGTCCAAATTGTTTTATGTAGTTTTTAAAACACACATAAGCTAACAGAAAAAGAAAAATGATTGCAATTAAAGAAACATCATTAGCATTCATTTATTAATGCCTTACTCTCTATTATTTTATTTCCATTAATTATTTCTCAGAGATACATTTTATCAAAATCCAACAAATCAGGTGAAAAAGATGCCCTCCACTAAACATCAAATTATTTGACTTCAAAATAAGAAAAGAATAAAAGAAAAGGAAATAAGTCAATTATCTGTTGCTCTTTCCAAACCAAAATCAAAGATTACTGAAAACTGTAAACTTTTCAAGCTGTCATGAGAAGAATGTACTAAATCCTGAAAAACCATAAAACTATTTTACATTCAAATATTACCTTTGGGGTTGTATAAAATGTTTAAGAGGGACAGATTTGGCCTGTGGGCCATGTGAAGAACTTGATCAGTTTTACCTTCTTTCATGTCAGACCAGCAACCTGTTAAAGTGTGCAATACTGTCAATTTACACCTGCTGCCGTTTGGATTTACATTTATGGAAGCTTAATTTTCAGGGCACTACTTTTTGGAGGGAAGAGAGTAAAATACAAAAGTCAGTTTATAATAGTATGTATGTATTTATTGACTTTTATTCAACCTGGTAAATCCCATTGATGTGACAGAGTCCTGGGTCTGAAGCCTGACATTAAATAAAGGTTATAAATAAACAATAAATAGTAAGAATTGACCATTTTTACTGCTATTTTCTGGACTAGAGGACTAGAAGGCCCCACAATAAGTCAAAGTTCTCTCAGGAAACAAGTGCTGAGTGTTTTTTTATTGCTGCTTATATCTCCCTTTACCTGCTTTTATTTTTCTTGAAAAATACAATAACCACGCTTATAGGTTTGGATATATTTTCTCTGTTTTTCAGAACTTTGTACAGTCAGTGAGCAATCTGTTAATGGAGGAAAACCGAGATAGATGGGAGGAAGCCCAGCTGGTGAGTAGCAGCCTCTTTGTAGAAAACAGTTATATTGTTGGTAAAGTCATTCTGGTGAACTTTGAGCTTAGGAATAATACTGAAACTGATGAATGAGAAACTTGACAAAGACACAGGTGGACAAACAGCCCACCTGTGTCTTTTCAGACAGACAGTGGTGAGGAGAAAGGACAGAAATAGCTGTAGCTAATGAGCAAACAAGACAAGGCAAACACCCACTCCTCCATCTGCTGCACATCCATTTGTACATTCCTGTCTGTACCTTCATCCAACCCTCGTCTCAAAACTGTCACCATGCAGGTGGAAAAGAAATGCTAAATACACCAGCCTGTTCTCCTCAAAGCTCCTAAAATGCCTTTAAATCACAGGACATTTATTAATATTACATTAGTAAATAAGACTATATACAGGAACAAATAGGTTTTAAATATTATTCAAATGATCACTAATATTAAAGTGGCAGTATACTGTAAGTTAGACTAAATAATCTGTAAAGAAATTGAAAGGAGACAAATCCCAACATCATTTTATAATAACCTGTGATAAGAAAATAATACCTACATTTTGATGAAGAAAATATATACAGTAATATACATAAAGAGAAGCAAAATAAAACTAAATTGGATATTGTCACTGACATAACCACACACCTCACTGCCAGCTTAGAGACAGCAAAAAGACAGGCTGTAAAAGTAAGAGTCAATTAAAAGATTTCATTCATGAGTGGCAGAACACTCAATTCTTTCGTGTGATTTTTGTGTTTCTTCTGTGTCTTTCTATGAGAAATGAAAAATGTAACAGTTTAGTCAACTTTGAGGTGATGTTTGTTGCATCAGACAGAACAGAGCCTGTGTGCTGTGATCCTGAAACAGGCAAGGTTTTCATCCAGACTAGGCTAATGGCTAGCAAAATGAGTGGCCCCTTTCTGAGCTTTGTAGGATAACAAAATAACTCTGTGAAAGACAGCCTACTGGTGGGAAAGAACAGAACATGAGTTAGTGTTAAACTTCTTGTTTAGTTTGTCTCTGAGCTGAGCATGGTCAGTGTAACTACATGGATGGATGTGTGCCGAGTATTAATAGACTGTAATTATGCCCATGGTGCAGTCAGTTCAGTAGTTTTCTCAGGTCCTGGTGGTCCAGCAGATGGTCACTGTAACACTGACAATGTTCAATAAAGAAAACAACACTTAATGTCAAGGTTTGTTGTTTTTAAAATACATTTTTGTAGGCTTAAAAATTGTTTAAAAAACAGACACTTCTTTGGCTAGCAATTAGGCTAACCTGTTGAAGACACTTAACTTGTTCTCAATACTTTAAGTTTGTTCTTTAAAAGTTACCTCTACAGCCTAACTTTGCACAAAATTATCATAAAACAAGAAGAGAACCTTATTGCTTATGACCTTATGGCCATTCTGTTGACCAAACAGCAGTTGGATGACTTTGTGATGTTTGGGCACATGCTGTTGAGGTGAGGAAGCAATACCAACATTTTTCTTCACATCAAACATTTCAATCCATTTAAGCTCAGGTCCTTAACCAGAGGCCATTTCTCATCAGACATCCTGGTAGACCAGATTAGACCAGATTAGACCAGACTAGAAAAGACTAGATCTATCAATTGGCAGAGCTGTAAAGTAACAAAGTACAAATACTTTGTTACTGTACTTAAGTAGAAATTTTGGTTATCTGTACTTTATTTGAGTAATTATTTTTCAGCATACTTTTTACTTTTACTCATTACATTTTTACACAATTATCTGTACTTTCTACTTACTGCATTTATTTAAAAAAGTAAGAAGTACAAAGTTGTTACTCCTATTTTATTTTGAGTTGTTATTACATAAAAAAAATACTATCCTGAAAAATTGTCTCCTGGAT